TCTATGGAAGCTCTTTTCTGCCACTTAAAAACTTTTTTTCTTTTTTTGCTATTCATAAGTCTCAAAAATTTGAAAGGTTTTTCATCTCTATAGCTAATTTCTTTCCAACTTCATAGGTAGGAATGAGCACTTTTAGTGGATTGCCTGCTTTCAGAAAAAGGTGGATGGCAATAAGCCATCTACTGCTCATCATTACTCGGACGGTTTGAGTCAGTTTACTTGACCTCTTGACCTGTTTGCAGTGTTTGTGCCTTTTTAGAACATTTTAAGTGAACGCATCTGGCATAATGTGACTTTCTGTGTGGCTAATTGTAGCAATGTTGAGTTTTGGAAATGAGTGCATTTCTAGTATTATTGTATTTAATTGTTAACACTAATCAGCAAGCACCTGTGTTGGATATCCTGCTTTCGACCCTCTTCTGTCTAAGTTCATACTCTTAGCTCGAAAACATCCATCTTACACTGAATATAAAAGCTTGATTAAATTTCTCAAAGTTGCAAACGTTTCTTATTCTCAGTGCTCCTGTCTTTTTTCACGTTGGAATATGAAAAGTCATCCCGTGACCACAAAGGAGTTATCTCAAATCTCACCAGTCTGGTAGAGCTCCATGAGGTGTTAGTCTGAAGAGGTTGTCTGCTTCATTACTTTCTTCTGTGTTGGCAGACAACTGCATCCCTGCAGATCAGTGCACATCGGCCTTAAGTAAAAACTGATTACATAACCGAACAAGTCAACAATGTGGAATTTGGGGAATTTCCTTACTTTCAGCTGACCACTTCTCTGAAGGCTCCAGCTCAGGTTCTGGTGAACAAGGAAATTATTTCTTAGACTAAGTGATTAGGAATGTCACACCAACATATTTCTTTTATGTGCTTGTTTAAGAATTACTTGCAGCTCACTTGCAGTTTTCTGTTGTTCTTTACTAATTTAAAACTTATAAGTAAATGTATCACACATAAAAAGTAGATCTCATTTAAATTAAAGCAACTAAACATTGTACTAGTGTACTAAAGAGTCCATTATGTGCTATATATGTTCGGTACATAAAGCTTTAATCTACACAAGCAGCTGTCCAATTATAGAAGTGGAGGGCTTTAATAGAAAAGGGTCAGTAAGCATAAAGTAAAGGATGCAGATGTTCCAGTGTTTTCATTCTTAAACTATATCTCAGGCGTTGAGATAAGGATGAAATACTGATAGCTGGGACTCAGTGGTTTCATTTCTAATACTGTTAGATAAAGCAAAGCACCTGCTTGTCTAAACCAAAATACTTGCAAGGATCCACTCGAGTGCTGTGAGGGAACTTTTTACTGTGCGCACAGGGAATGTTTTTCTATTATGAAACCTCTAATAGACTGCAAATAACCAGCCTGATCTAGGAGGGGCTGAGATAAGAAGCTGGATTATTGTCAAAGCTAATAAACAGAACAGACATAAGACCTTAGGGCTCTTTCATCATGCCTTTTTCTGCCCCCGCAGTAATCTGTTTGCTGGATCACCTCAGCAGTACCTGACACGGACACCGAGAGGAATTCACACTGGAGCTGGGTATGTGAGGGAGAGGGGGGGAGTGTCCTTACCTTCTGGCTTCTTGTGAATCTGCCTGAACATGCTCTTGTACCAGTCTTTGGGTTTGTTCACACTCTGGTATTGAAAGAAAGAGGAGGCGCAGAAAGTCAAAGGATTTGGCTCAAAACAACAACACTTCTTATGTAACTAGCATTGTAGAATTAAAGCAGTGCTAGCTCTGGCTTACTGATCTTGAAGCAATGGGCATCCCAGTCTCATCCACTGGGCCAATTCCTGAGAACTTGATGAGCCTTTCCTCCCTGGTAGGGCCCGTGCTGCGTGGTAACGTGGCAGAGCCCCGAAGGCCGTTGGACAGTCCGCCTAAGTTGTCACAGTAACAACATTTCCTTTATTGTGCTGTTTCACTTAATTACACAGGAATTTGTCTGCTTATAAATCCTCCTAAATCATATGAAACCCATAGATCAAGTTAAGGGTATTACACACCGGCTGATTTT